CTCTTTTTTCATCCCCGCCCCCTTTTAAAATGAATACAAACAACAGTGTTCACAGGACCATCAAATATCAGATAAGAAGTGTGGGCCATCAAAACTAGTTGCCTCTTGCTTATTGGTTTTTCTTTTCTTTTTTTTTTTTCCAATGTGACCTTAAATACTGGCCTACTTTTACTCCATTGTGGTCCTTTAGCTTCATTTCCTTTGTTGTGAAGCCCTGTTTACTGCCTGGATTCCTTGCCTTTCTGTTATTTCATCTTGATCGTGTGTGCCATTCATTCTGACCTCTGCCACTTCCTTTCAAATATTACTTTGATTTCCCTTCTCTCATTCATGCTATACCAGAGGGTACAGCAGAGTGGCAACAAGATTTTATCTACCTGTATTAAGGAAACAATATTGCCCTCGAAAGACAATCATTTCCAATGCCTTGATTTTGGAATCGTTTTTCCTGAAAAACAAATGTGTATGGTGTTTGTGTGTGTGTGCTGTACATATAAAGTCTGATAAACAGAACTTTGTGCAAATGTTATGGGAGGGGAAGACAGCAAAATAAAATTACTGTTATAAAAGTAACCCACATTACATATTGTCTTCAGGAAATGTCTTCAGGAAGTTTGATTTTAATTCGATCAGCACACCTGTTTGCATGCCAGTCTTGTCTAAAGACTGCGTGGAAGAAATACTGAGCAGTTACAAAATATCCTTCAATTCCCTAGTGTGTCTGGTTTTAAAAACTGTTAAGTACCTTTTACTCTGCATTAAACTATTTGAATAAAAATTCCTCCTTCAATAGGTTAAACCACAATATACAAAGAGCCCTTCACCTTGGCCGTGGCGTTAGGAGAGGCCCACCTGGCCCCATGAGGGCAGAGGAAGATGCTGGCCACGGAGCAGGTAGAGTCCACGCCACATCCACGTGCTCCTGTTGAGAGCAGAGGGCCCTACGCACCAGTGGGCAGATCAAGCTAGTTTGCATGTATGAAATGAATGATAAGTGAATTAATACATTTTCATTTGTATCTTGTGTCATCTTGCATAAATTATAATTCTACAGAAAATGATAAAACAAGTTATTTTTGGTGTGTTAAATTACTGTTACAACACTATGTAATTAAAACGAATCCCTTTTTCATCTTCAGTTTTTATTTCTAGCGTTTCAGAAATAACATTTAATGACAATAGCTGAATAAAAAGCAAACCGAAAGTATCTACAAGCATTTCATTTTTAAAAAACTGAACCATATGCCTCCTTTTTTGTCAGTCTGTCAAATAGCTTATGTTTATTAAGTGCTGGGCCAAATTCTGCCCTCTGGGCCGAGGGGCATTTTTAAGGAAACAGAAATCTTATAGCAGGACTGAGACAGGATAAACAAAACTGGAAATAAACAGAACCCCAGATACACACGATCACTGACCACTTTAGGGCTGCACACCCATAATGAATGGTATTTGAAAAGTGAATCCTCATCCGCTCCTTGTCTACCAGTTCAGGCTCAGAATTCATTCCCTCGCCCCACCCCGTGACCCCCTGTTCTCCACACACGCACGACAGTGTCCTGCGGAGCCCCGCTCCCTCAAACCTTCGTGTCCTCAGCCTGGGTGCAGTCCTTCCTCAGCCCGGGCACTTTTGCACCGCAGACGTCCCTCCCTCCGAGAAGCCTTCCCCTCGGGCAAGTTCGGTGCCTGCTCCTCGGGGTTCCATGGCACTTTCCATGTACACGTCACTTTGCCGCTTACCATGAATTACCCGGTAATTATTTGTTAATGTCTGCCTCCCCAAAGAGACTTCATTCATTGATTCAGTCATTCAACACACAGCAGTGCTGGGAGAACATAGGCCAGTCTGGGTACTTCCGGCCTGAAGTAGTTCTCGGGGAGTAGGAGAGACGGGCTAGCGCCCCAAAGCTACAGCCTGGTGTGAAAAGTGACACAGAGGTACACCAGGAACACTACAGCCCTGCTCAGGAGGGGCCCTTGCCTGGCGTTGAGCTTGGAGAGCTTCATGGTGACACCCTTGGCCTGAGGCTGAAGGATGGGTGATGGGCGGGCAGGGAGGAATGAATGAAAGGCGAGGAATGATGGTGCAGCGGGGACAGGGATGCGAAGGTCCCAGGAGAAGAGGAACAGGAAACTGCAAATACGCCTGCATGCCAGAGGGAGGAGTCCGTCTCGGAGCAGCAGGGAAAGAGCTCGGGCCAGGGCAGAGAAGTCCTGACATGCCGCGCTGAGAAACACGCCCTCGAGTGTGTGTTGTGGATACTTGTTTATGGAGGGGAAGCCAAGTCCTGTGAGCCTGTTGGAAAGACTATCCTGGGAATGAGATGCGGGCAGAGTGAAAAGAAGTGAGCCTGAAGACGTGGCCGTGGAGGAGCATGGCGGGGGGGGGGAGTATGCGGTGGGGAGACCGATTCTCAAGATATTCATTTCAGAGGGAGAGTGGACAGAACAGGTTCGCAGAAGAGAGGGAGGCATTCAACCCCAGGAAGGTTCACCGCCAAGGGTCAAGAAACCCAACCTTACGAAGAGGAGCCTGGGAGGCAGCTGGACGTTGGGATCCCAAGACCAGGGGAGAAGTCAGGGCTGGAGGGAGAGATTTGGGAGGCATCTGTGAATAGTTCAAAGCTCAAGATGAGATTTCCTAGGGGGAAAAAATGTCCAGTGTGGAGAGGAGAGGGCTAATGCTGGACCCTGGGGAATATTTGGTGAGAACGGATGGAACTAAGAGGGCCAGAGATGTAACAGGAGGCAGAGAAGCTCGAGGGACACCCAGAGAGATGAGTATCCCAGAAACCACGGAAGCAGAGTACAGGAAAGGAGCAGGTGGTCAAGGGTGTCCAAAGTTTCAGCCAGGACAGATTAAGCCCGACCGGAGAGATCCCCAGTACCTGTGGCAACTGCGTACTCGAAAGTGATCTTGGCCAAAGCAACTGCATGAGGTACCGAGGCCGAAGCAGTCTCAATGCAGAGAGTGAAGGATGAATGGAGAAGGGGAGCCAGAAGCACAGGGGACTAGCTCGTGGTTGCTACTCTCTCTCGAAGCTTGACTGTGAAGGGGAAATGCATGGAGGCATAGAGGGTGGAGGGGTTCCTTGAGGGCATGGAGCACCTAGCACAGTGCCTGGCCCACTCAAATACGTATTTATTGAATAAAAGTTAAAATGATAAATTGCTGAATAAGTGAGTAAGAGAGCCAGGGAAGACTTTGTGTGTTCTGAAGTATGTAATTACTTCTTTATATTCAGGAGAGGTGGCAGAGAGAATGAACAGGAGAAGAGGAAATCAGGAGGCCTGGAGGATGGCGGAGCCCTCACACTGTAAGCAGCAGGGAGAGGAAGGTGGGCTGAGACCCCTACACAGGGAACAGGGCTGCAGGCTCCAGAGAGAAGGCAGCTTAAGGCGGGGGGGGGGGGGTTGGGTAAATGCCAAGCAAATGGACTCAGGAGTACAGACAGCATCGCCGGGCAGTACGCAGGAGAGCCAGCGGTGATGGGAGAGACCGTTGGGACCCAATGCTGATTATTCAGGGACGGTGGGAAATCCGTCTAAGTGTCCTTTCAACCCTATCTATCAGCAACCCATCTCCTAAAGCAATGCAAGTCCATGCTGTGAGGCAGACCTCTTTTTTTTTTCTGCCCTAAACAACGCAAGATAGCAAGAAAGTGAAGTCACATTTGGGGTGGTGTGGATTTTAAAAGGTGGGAAAGCAGGAACTATTGCCCGGCAAGACCAGGCAAGTGTGGCTCACTTTGTGGAAATGGACCTGTGTTTGCACGGTTTTCACAACAAAACTGGGAGAACCATCCCCTCCCCACAGAGATGCTGTGAGAAATTACAGGTGCAAGCCCTTTTAAATTATTAAGGGTGAACTGTTGTTATTGCAGCCTAGTTGCTACAAGAGCCTTGGTGGGTATTAAGGTACCCCTCTAGCTCGCACCCCTTATTTTTGTCCCTCCTTTCTCTCACCTCCTCTGCTTGGACTGCTTTTATTATTAAAGGATAAAATACGTTCAGCGTCTGACACAGCGCCTAGAATATGGGTGTGTGTGTGTGTGTGTGTGCGCCCAAACAGGTGAGTTGCTGACCCTGCTCCCCCATCACCTCTTTCCGCTGCCCATCTATGGCCTACACTCCACCCCGGGGACGTCTGCCCCTTGCCATGAGCTTCCAGGAATAGTAACTCTTGAGACTGGTTTACAGCCTTTTAATTCTGTGCAAGTCCTAACTTGGGGGCCTAATCATCAATCGATAAAGCTCAGGTTGTGAAATCACCAGCCACACCAGCCAAATCCGCACTGCCCACTTTGCAACCCCCCACAAGGCCAGGTGCCACCTAGGCTGTTTCCAACCAGCACAGCTGGGAGGCCCGCCTGTCTGTTAGAAAGCATTGGCTCAGACATCAAATCTGTGTTATTTATTCAGTTCTCGGAAGACTAGTCTTTCAAACACGACCTTTGACTCTACCCAGCAGACAGAAATCCAGGGGGGTGGGCAACAGTGAGACTCGGGCGAGAAGGACTTCTCAGGGAAGGGGTGGCAGGACAAGGTCATCGGGCTTGAGGGACCCCAGGCTCTGCCACGGACCCCGCAGCCCCTTGGCCCCGCAGTTTCACACCTGTAAAATGGATATGATCGTTTCTGTTCCACCACCGGGCTCCAGTGTGTGTGTGTGTGTGTGTGTGTGCATGGCATTCCTTGCCCGGCCCCCGCCTCTGCTCCCCAATAAATGGAAATGGTGTTGTTAACCCTGACCTTGCATCCCAGCTCCGGAAGCCCAAACCCCACTTCTCTGCAGGCCGGGTGACAGCCAGCCAGAGAGGACCCTCCTGCCGTCACCCTGCAAAGGGCAGTGGCCAGGACCTGGGGGGAGGGGCAGTGGGGCAGGTTCGCGGGCACGGAGGGCGGCCAGGGCGGCCGGCACCCAGCCCTGCGGCTTTCGCCGGCGGGAGGGAGAACAGGCTGTAGGCGGCTCCTTCCTGTGCAAACTTTTCTGTCCTCTTCCTCCTCCCGCCCTCCCGACCAGCTTCTCGGCGCCCGGAGTCCAGCCTCCCGGACCTTCGCTCTGCCACGGGGTCGCGGCGCGCCCGGCAGCACAGCGCTCGGCGCCGGCCCCACCCCACGCTCCGGCCGGCACCGGGGGAGCCAATGGCCGAGGCGGGCAGGAGCCCGGCCGAGCGCCCGCGGGAGCCAGTCGCGCAGGTGGCGGCTGAAGCCTCGGAGCCCGAGGCATCCGCCCCGCCGCGGGCCCTACGCCGGCTGCCCGGGGACCCGAGCCCCCGGGGCCGCTCCCAGAGCGACCTGTCGTCGTGCTCAAGCAGGGGCCGCCCACTCCGGGTCCACATCTCCGGCTCAGGTACGGGCGGCTCGGGGCGCTGGGGGCCGGCGGGGGCCCAGGGCAGGGTGGGCGCGGGCAGGGGCGGCGATGGCTAGGTGGCCAGCCCGCGGCGTCCTCGGGCACTGTTTTCGCAGGCTGGTGGCCGGTGGGGAGGAGCTGGGGTAGGCAGGGGAAGGCTGGGGGGGTGGGGCGGGCGGGGAGGATGAGGATGAACTCCCCCCGCCACCCTCCTCCTAGGTTGCCTGCGGCCGGGTACCCTCGCCCGAGACGATGGAACCGGGCTGCTGCTGGTGCGCCAGGTGGGCGCGCGTCTCGCAGGGGCCAGCGTGCAGCCCGCCGGGTTAGGGAGCGCTCCTGCGGCTGTGCGGAGCCGGGAGCACCAGCTGCTCTGGCTTGGCCATCAGAAAGAGGAACCTCCTCTCGGTCTTGAGAGTGACTTCGTCCCTCGGAAGGGTGCGGTCCTCTCACTTCGGGGGCTGGGCCAATGTAGGTCTTTGAAACCCTCCGAACTGCTCACGCTTCTGAAATAAACCGTTCTGAGGGAGGGGAGGTGCTGGTCAGAGACCTGGGGGTGCGCGTTTTTCCTCCCTGTGAAAACCCACGCAGGTGGTGCTGAGAGTTCGGCCGGCCTCTTTGTTCGTCTGGTCCTTCACTGTGTTGGGTAAAGCCTGGAGCCAGCACCTCTGCGGTAGCCCGGCCTGGCACCCGGGCTCCCCTCTGCGCGGTGTGCATGGCCAGTCCTGGGGGTGCTCGGTGCACGCGGGCAGCACCAGGAGCTGGGCAGGTGCTGCCAGCCCGGGCTGGGTAAGGTGGTGCGCATCACTTTGTCTCTCCTCTTCAGTATTTAAAGTGGGAATGAGAGTGTGGAGTTCCCACATGGGGAGGTTATGGGGATTAAATAATTAATACTTTTTAAATGCTTCGAAACACGCATCATCCTAAGAACTGCAGACCTGTTTTTAAAAGTCCACCAGATTTGTTAAGTTTCCCCAGATTGTTTTCCATCCAGGGCGGATGCATGGGAGCTGGCACTCGGAAGTAAAACTAACGTGAAAAGTACCGATTGCAGCTGAAGGCCCTTGCAGTGGCGCTCAAGTGCACACTAACCCCCACCTTGACCCCTTTGGGCTCTGGCCTAACTCAACCTCACTTTTACCTGAATCCGAGTTTCCTGGTCAAAAAGGGGCCACACTTCTGTGTCTCTGACTCCACCCTGATTAGCTGGCTCTGTTCTCCACCGAAGCCCTCTGTTTCCTTGTTCTTGTGACACTGTTGCTGCTGCACAGCATGCCTGCTTAGGGAACAGTAAAGGTATTGTTGATCTGACTTGGAGATCACATTGGCTAAAGGTGGTTAAAATTGTCCAGTACAGGTAATGGAAAGTAGGTGGTGGGATTTGTGTAAGGATTCTTCTGTTGAATTCACACTGTGTAAAGCATTGAATGGGAAGTATTTTACCTCTTGCCCTTTATGTCTTCGCCAAACTGAACTTGACTGATGGATAATCTTGACTGAGTTTTACAAAGATTCACTGTTCAGATGATTCTAAAGAGACAACTGAAAATTAGTCCAGTTGGTGACTGTCGATAAGAGAAGCATAGATTGTATCGCCATTTTCCATTTTCATAGAGAGAAATTAAGGTACCTGTGCGCCTCTTCAATGCGAGTGTGCCAAGTGTACATCATGTGAACTGCGGGCTTCATAGGCTTCGTTATTCTTACTTCCAAGAAATCTTTGTCTTCTGTGTGCTCTTAAAGAACACTGGGAAGTGACAAGTTCAGCCAAGCTGTCCCCTGCGCTCCCGGATGCTGACCCTTGTGTAGAAGAGTGCACTTCTCCCAAGAGACGCTGTTCCATTTTCAGAACTGAGCCTCGGATTTCGAGAGCAGGCTACATGTGACGAGGAGCTCCCTGTATTTCTTAGAGCCAGAGAAAAGCGATCTGGTTCCTCACGGACACACGCAGAGTGTTTTCCCAGAGCACGGTAGCCTCTGCAGCCCGTTGGGATGGATGAGATTTAGCCAGGTGACTGGGCGGGGATAATGGAGTTGTCCCAGAGGTGCAATGGGAAGGTTACACCACTTTGTGGAAACGTTCCTTGGCCTGGGGAGGGCAGCCTAAATCCCAGGCCCTCCCCAGGGGCTCCGGACACACGAGGGCAGTGTCCACAGCTAGACTGTGTGTGGCCTTGCCAGAGTGGCCCCCGAGCAGCAGCAGCAGCCTCATCTTGCAATGGCAGACCCCACCCCAGACTGACTTAGTCCCCGTCTGCATTTTACAAGGTGCCCGGGTCGTTCCCAGGCACAGTCACATCTGAGAAGCATGACCCTGTCTCTGACACTTGTTTTCAAAGTCGTTTACACATAGGAGTCTCTTGGGGAGTGAAAAACAACCACAACCAAACAATTTATGGCTGGATCCCACCCCAGGGATTCTGATTTAATTGGCATCAGATGCAGCCTGGCACTAGGTGATTCAAATGTGTAGCAGAGTCGGGAACCGCTGTTTTGTGGCGTATATGTCGATATGTACTGTGAATCGGTGGCTGCGGCCAGGGTTGGCCCAGCAGATGTAAGACTGATGAAGTAGGTTGAGTGCCTTCTCACACCCCTGTTGGTACTTACTTTCTCCTACTACTGCCACCCCCGCAAGCGGCTTTTCTCACTCCCTTTCTGATTCCAGTCAGCGAGTTTCTGCTAAGATTATTTATTTATTTATTAGAGAGAGGGGAAGGGAAGGAGAAAGAGAGGGAGAGAAACATCAGTGTGTGGTTGCCCCTCACGTGCCCCCAACGGGGGACTGGCCTGCAACACAGGCATGTGCCCTGACTGGGAATTGAACCGGTGACCCTTTTGTTCACAGGCCTGTGCTCAATCCACAGAGCTACAGCAGCCAGGGCAAGGGCTAATTTCTAATAATAAGTTAACTACCAGGTGTGAATCCTTGGGAGAATGTTGAGAGGGGAGGGGACATCACATTTTGAAATGATTAGTGGCTGGGAGTGGGGGAGGGGAGAGGGGAGGCTGGAGGGGTTCCCCAAGGGCTGGTCAAGAAGCACCTCACTCCCAAACAACCATCCACTCCCTGCTACCCTGGCCTGTCACCCCACCTCCCACCCCTGCCTCCTCTCTACCCCATTTTTTTTCCATGAAAAACTAGCTAAAAACTTGAAACTTGGCTGTGAAAATATTGCCAGCTATGGCAGTGGAAGTCATTCCACTGCGAAACAGTTTTTAAAGACCTGCTCTGTGCTTTCACCGAGCTGATGCTATGGGGCCATCACAGGAGAGCCCACTCTCCCCAGCTGTGCTTTGATAACGAGACTTTTGTCAAGAAAAGCACCTCAGACTTCAATGGCTTCTATTAAGCTTGTGATGTGAGTAGCTTGTTTCACACAGGACACAGATGCATGGGTGTTGTCAGTAAACCCTGTATGTTGCTTTGCACTTTAAACCCCATTCAAGCCCTGGACTCAGTTGACATGCCCTCCGGAACACCAGACTCCCGTGGGTTTGACCCCCGTGGGGGTGCTTCAGGGGGCAACCAGCAGTGTTTCTCTCTCCCGCCACTCTCTCTCTTCCCCCTCCCTTCTTCCCTTCCTCTCTCTCTAAAAAAGTCAATAAACATCTCCTCAGATGAGGATTAAAAAACTCCATTCAAAAGATATGAAGAAAACCAAATATTTTCATCCAAGTGCATTATTTAAATAACACTGGAACTAGTACATAAGTGCTTTCACTGAGCTTATAAAAACTGAGGGTTTTTTTTTTCTTTATAAAAAGTCAGATCCATTTTGCTTTACATTTTTTTGAACTTACCATTCTGGAACACAACAAAAGTTCTGGGTTTTAAAAACCTAGTATGTCTTTGTAAATGTAGTGATATTTTATCATGAAAAAATAATGTCCTGAAATAAGCTTTTGGTGGCATATGGTCAAGTGTTTCCTTACTTTTCTGGGCTGATCTCTTCTCGGGTTAGAGACTTTCACTTGGTCAGTGGGTCCTGATGTAGTCTTTGGATATGCCCAGTGCTCAGTGAGCAAAGAACCTGAGGTCACAGCCCAGGGCATAGTTCTGCTGTGAGCTGTCAGCAAGTGCTGGCTGTGACCTACTATGTGCCAGGCGCTACACTGGGCATGTCAGGCCATGGGGTGGCCAGGAGGTGTTGACCATCTTCAGATGACTCTTAGTCTTGCATCTTGGTCTGCACAGAGCAGAGAACTCCTCAAGCCACCTCACAGAAGGGAGGTGCGAATGAATGGCTTTATTAGCTTGATGTATGGATGTCTGGTACCCCGATTCATCCCTCCAGCATCCCTTTGCCCTGGTGTCTAAGTAACTACAAATCCAGTATCTTTTTTCTGAGTCTTTCAGCCCTAATATGTTGATTGACAAGGAAGTGAGAAATCTGGCAAACTTGGATGCTCTGTCATTCCTTACCCTCTGCCCCTTGGCCACCGCCATCAGGTGCTGCTGTCCAAGGTGGGCTCTGCAGCTGATGGTCACCTGTCCCACTGAGGGAAGTCCTTGCTTGTCCACACCTTGCTGGTGCTCCCACAGTGCCTCTCACTGACCTCCAAGTTTATAACTCTTGCAGTCGGTGCTTGCGTGTTCAGCCATTGTTCCGAAAACATAATGCTGTGCCCGGTGGCTGGGTCCCCAGGGGCCTCGGTCCCAGCTGGGCTGGAGCTGCTTTAGGTCAGGAACCTGCTCGCTTTCCATTTGCTTCACTCAAAGTGGTTTTTACCAAACAAAGGCAATCTGGCTCTAAGTTTACTTTCTGTGTGTGCCTATTCACTGGAGAACAAAGCCTCCTGCCAGGAGTGCAAAACCTTCCTGGGCAGAGCACGCAGCAGGGCTCCGATCCAGCCTATGGCCAGCCCTGGTTGTGCTGTGCACCCTGGCGTGCACGTGCCTCCCCCTCCCACCTCCCCCAAGGAGGGAGCCTTCTTCTTTGCCCAAAGGCCGTGGGCTCCTGGCCAGCCAGGAGTCAACTATTGGTTGGGCATCATCCCAG